ATGGAAACTAGTTAATATTACCAATCTTATTGTTATAAATGGAAATGTGTGTGCGTTTTTGTGTGTAAGTGTGTTGTGTGTGTGCGTTTTCTGTTGAGAGTGATAACAAAGTAGATGCAGGACCAATATTTTCTTTATTTCCATAAATAAAGTTTTATTGGAACACAACCATGACTGTTCATTTACATACTGTCTGTGGCTATTGAGCTATAACAATAGAGTTGGGTAGTTGTGACAGAGACCATAAGGCCTGCAACAACTAAAATATCCCTTTAGAGAAATGGGTTGCCAACCCCTGCTATAGAGTCCAAGAATGGTCCCTGGATTAGTGTCATCAAAATGACCTTAGAATTTGTCAGAAACGCAAATTTTCTGGCCCATCCTAGACCTACGAAATAAGAGATTTGTTTTTTATACTGATAAATGAAAGCATAGGAGAGCACAAGACCATGGATAGCAAAGCTCTGTACTGAATCAGCCTTGCATGAAACACATCATAAAGTAAAAACCATAATGATGGAATCAAATCCGACAAGACATAGGCAAAAAATACTCAAAATTAAGGGAAAACCCTATTTAAAACAGTGTTTAACCTCCATTGTCATTAACAACGAATCCAACCCTAAGTGTATATTGGGTCTTGAGCTACAGTATAACCATAATGGCACATATATAATTTTTTAAACCTTTGTTTTGGGGTCAGCAATATGTGTGAAAGTTTTACACAGGTGAACTCATGTTATGGGAATCTGTTGTATGGATTTGTTCATCACCCAAGTATTAAGCCTATTACCCAATAGTTACCTTTTCTGCTCCTCTCCCTCCTTCCATCTTCCCCCTAAAGTAGACTCCAATATCCGTTTTTCCCTACTTTGTGTTCATAACTTCTCATCATTTAGCTCCACTTAAAAGTGAGAACATGCAGCATTTGGTTCCTGTTTCTGGGTTAGTTTCCTAAGGATAATGACCTACAGTTCCATTCATGTTCCCACAAAAGACATGATCTTATTCTTTTTTATGGCTGCATAGTATTCCCTGGTGTATACGTACCACATTTCTTTATCCAATCTGTCATTGATGGGCATTTAGTTTGATTCCATGTCTTTGCTTTTATGAATAGTGCTGCAATAAACATTCACGTGTGTGTCTTTATGGTAGAATGATTTGTATTCCTCTGGGTATATACCCCGTAATAGGATTGCTGGGTTGAATGGCATTTCTGTCTTTAGGTCTTTAAGGAATTGCCATTCTTCTTTTCACAATGGTTGAACTAATTTACACCTCCACCAACAGTGTATAATTGTTCCCTTTAATCTGAAACTTCACCAGCATCTGTTATTTTTTTACTTTTAAATAACAACAATTCTAATTGGTGTGAAATGGTATCTCACTGTGGTTTTGTTTTGCATTTCTCTAATGATGAGTGATATTGAGCATTTTTTCATATGCTTGTTGGCTGCATGTATGTCTTCTTTTGAAAAGTGTCTATTCATGTATTTGTCCACTTTTTAACGGGTTTTTTTTCTTGTAAATTTGTTTAAGTTCCCTATAGATCCTAGATATTAGACATTTGTCAGATGCATAGCTTGCAAATATTTTCTCCCATTCTTTAGGTTGTCCCTTTACTCTGTTGGTAGTTTCTTTTGCTGTGCAGAAGCTCTTTAGTTTAATTAGATTTCATTTGTTAATTTTTGCTTTTGTTGCGATTGCATTTGGTGTCTTTGTCATAAAATCTTAAAATCTTTGCTTGTTACTATGTTCAGGATGGTATTGCCTAGGTTGTCTTCCAGAGTTTTTATAGTTTTGAATTTTACATCTAAGCCTTTAATCCATCTTGAGTTGATTTTTTGTATATGGTATAAGGAAGGATCTAGCTTCAATCTGCTGTATATGGCTAGCCAATTATCCCAGCACCATTTATTGAATAGGAAGTCTTTCTCCATTGCTTGTTTTTGTCAGGTTTGTTGAAGGTTAGATGGTCATAAGTGTGTGGCCTTATTTCTGGGTTCTCTATTCTGTTCCATTTTTCTATGTGCCTGTTTTTGTACCAGTAACATGCTGTTTTGGTTACTGCAGCCCTGCAGTATAATTTGAAGTTGGGCAACACGGAACTTCCAGCTTTGTTCTTTTTGCTTAGAATTGCCTTGGCTATTTGGGCTCTTTTTTGGTTCCATAAAAATTTTAAATAAATTTTTCTAGTTCTGTGGAGAATGTCATTGGTAGTATGATAGGAAGAGCACTGAATCTGTAAATTGCTTTGGGCAGTATGGCCTTTTTAATGATATTGATTCTTCCTATTCATGAGCATGTTTTTTTCCATTTGTTTGTGTCTTCTCTAATTTCTTTGAGCAGTGTTTTGTAATTCTCATTGTAGAGATTTTTCACTTCCCTGGTTAGTTGTATTCCCAGGTATTTTACTGTTTTTGTAGCGATCGTAAATGAGATTGCCTTTCTGATTTGACTCTTGGCATGGCTGTTGTTGGTGTATAGGAATGCTTGGGATTTGTGAACATTGATTTTGTATCCTGAAACTTGCTGAAGTTGCTTATCAGCGAAAGGAGCTTTTGGGCCTAGACTATGGAATCTCTAAATATAGAATCATGTCATCTGGAAACAGGAATAGTTTGACTTCCTCTCTTCCTATTTGGATGCTCTATTTCTTTGTCATGCTTGATTGTTCTGGCTAGGACTTCCAATACTATGTTGAATAGGAATGATAAGAGAGGACATCCTTGTGTTGTGCCAGTTTTCAAGGAAATGCTTCAGCTTTTGCCCATTCAGTATAACGTTAGCTGTGGATCTGTCATAGATGGCTCTTACTACTTTGAGGTATGTTTCTCCCATGCCTAGTTTCTTGAGCGCTTTTAACATGAAGAGTGTTGAATTTCGCTGATAACTTTTTCCACCAATTTCTCTTAAGAAATGTTTGTTAATGGCTTACATACTCATGGATAACCAAGAACCGAAGTTATGACAATGGCAGAGTAGTTAAAATAAAAGCCTCTAACAATTGTATATATTTAACAATTAACATAAAGAGCGCCAGTTAAGTTACAACCAGAAGTTCAAGTCCTTCCATTTATGTTTGAGGCTACCTCAAGTGTTAAAAGCAACAAGGTCACTGCCACACTAATAATAAGAAAATTGGACCATTTACATTATTATTTTTCATTTTCCATGACAACCAGAGAATCATCACAAGGCAACCAAGTAAACCCTATTGCAAAGAGAACAGACTTCTTTAAGGAGAGGCATGAGACAAAGTGTCTTACCTTGGGGAGGGCAAAGAGGAGAGAGGTGGTAGCCATACTTGTATAGGAGAAGAAATCAGCTAATATTTGGAGGAACTTCTTCCTCTCCCTGTATATATTACCCATAGTGACTGACACTAGGACTAAGCCACATCATGGAATTCCCATGTGCATACACAAACATTCAAAATTCCACAAAGTATATTTTATACTATTAAGCACTGTGCTATAATAGGAAGGTTGTCAAATGCAGTAGATCCCAGATAGATATTGTTCGAATCCAATCTTTATTATTTTCCCTTTTTTTGAAAATCTGTTTGAAATCCCACAGTGAATTATTTCTAAATCTGTCATCTTGCCTACCTGGGGTTATCTGAATATAGAAAAAAGTGGGTGGGGGTGGATGATGGAATTTAGCAAGGAAAGGTAGCTACTTCGTGTGCTTCTCAGACTCAGGAAGCATGTGCTCTACACTGAAAATTAAATGAATCATCATGGTATATTACACTTAATTTCCATTTAGCTTTTAGAATTTGATCTGATAACAGAAACATCTACATATAAACAAGGAATGCCACTGCCACAAATTTTTATATTTAACATTTATCAAATCAATGTCTCTCTAAATAACTCCAGCCATTTACTGTAGTTGTCCTATCTTTATATCAATAATGACAAAAGCACCTGAAAGGTTAAAATTGTTTTCTTTTCACTTCAGGTCATACTAAACTGAACAACTCATGGCTTCATCGATGACAGCATCACCACCGTTACCCAGGCCAGCAAAACCAAATACCCTTTAAAATGTTAAATCTGGCATTTATCATAAAATGATGATCAAAGAACATTCTGAGAACCAAGTGTGATAAATTTTACACACACAATTTGAGCATCAGCTTGGCTACCTAGCTTAACTTCCCAGTTTCCCATTTTCTGGTGGAGACCCTTGGGTAGGTTATCTGAATTTTCCAAGACTCCTGAGTTCTTTTATCTGCAACGTGTAATTTTGTAATATTTAAATCATGGGACTGTTGTGAAGATTGAAAAAGCTAATCCACTTGAGCATTCAGGCTGGCACTTGAATAGGCTATTCATGACCATGTAAGGCAAGGGAGGCTGGTATTAATATTCCTTCTCATCTCCAGTTTACACATGCAGAGAGCACCTCAGAATAGTTAAATTATTTATTTCAGGAAACACAGGAAATAATCAGCCCAGGCTTAAAATATCAGTCTGATCCTTTCTAAATTTTATTCTTTTTCTTTATATTAAACTTCTTTATTTAAGACCATAATTTGGTCTATATATGTTATCTAAATCATAAATGACTTCCGTTAAATCTTTGGTTAAATCCAAGACCAAGAGCAATAAACCCATGTAAATGGGAAGATACCAAATTCAAGTAATTTTAAAAAACGTTCCATATACTCACGGATTATAAGAAAACTAAAAATAATCCAAGACAAAGCTCAGCTTTGAATCCAATATACATTCATCAGATATACTAAGAAAATGGTTCAATTAATGGTAGTTTATCAAAACAATTCTATTTCATTTTCTTTAATACCTTGTATGCAATTAAATCTAAATTACAATTGCAGAACTGAATACATTGGAAAAGTGATTACCACAGATAAGACTACTCTAATATTTAATTGTCAAACTTATATAAGAAATGGCTATATGCCAATTAAAGCAACCATTTTTTCACAGTAGGAAAAAAAGAATCCTGAATGTCAAAACACTTACCGCCGCTTGCCGATGAGTATTGGACAATATTCCATGAATCTTCACTTTATCTTTTTCCATTTGGTCTATATTCACCCACAGATCCCGGCTGGCAGAATCAGATGGACCATATATCCGAGATATATAGTAATTGTGGTCTGTATCCTCCTGCAATAACAGATAATAATGTATATCAAGAACAGAGATGTTTTCCCTACAATTCTTTTTTAAAATATCCGATTGAATTTAACAATGCTAATAGTCTTTAACAGAGCCAAGTGATTTAACTAACCTCTAAGAGAAGTGAATTCGGATTAAATAAATAAATGTGCATATACACAGACACACACATACACAAACTATAAGAAAAAAAGAAAAAATGTTAAAGAAATAGGTCTAGGATTTGAATAATAATGTTTGGAATGTGAATTTTGTCTAATTCATTTATTATCTAAGTGCTAATTAAATAAAATGATTCTTGAAATCCAGTCAAATCATGAATCCCGTGTATTTTTTCCCAAATCATCAATCTAGATATACATATGTGATTGATCACAAAAGGGAAAAGAATATTCTCAGCAGTATTCTGAACAGATTTTGCCTTATGACTAAAAGAAAGGCTACAATCCAAAACGTAAATGTTGAGAATAGTGATTAAATATTTTGAATATTTAACAATTTCAATATATATTTCCTTCTAAGTTTTGTATTTTACGTCTGTGTATTTTATGTGTGTGTGTGTGTAAAATCTGTAGTCTTCTTTGGAAGAAATCGTTAAATATACAAGACTTAGAAGGAAATATATGCTGTGTACAAAGATCTAATTTCTCACCAGAACCAAAATGTCCTTTTTGAAAAAAAAAGTCTCTTTCGAACTTACTCCTAAAACCCTAAGGTATAATCACTATTCGTAATGACGCATTGAGACTTCTCTTCTTTAAAAATAAGGTTATATCAGGGTCTGCTTTTAGCTAATGGTCCTGGAAATGGAGAGAATATATATTTTTTCTTTAATTTGGGTTATTAAATTCTACTTTTATTTGAATTCTCATTATTGGTGTTACCATAGTACCTGTCACAAAGCCTTTATTAGCCATGTTTCCCACTCCCTGAAGAGATTTAAATGTTTTAAGAGGCAATTTTGATGAGAAATACCCAGAAAAATTATATGATTCTTGGTTAATTCTGATTGCAATGTTTTTTAACCATGAAATGTAATTGTGCTTATCAATTTGAGGAGTTACGAGACTGAAAATATTTTAAAACATTCAGGTAAATGTAAAAAAAATGTTGAATAAATAGGTCTATGATTTAAATAATAAGGTTTGGGAAGTGAATTTTGTCTAAATCATTTATTATCTAAGTGATAATTAAATTAAAAAAAATTTTCTTGAAATCCAGTCAAAACATAAATCCCATGTATTTTTTTCACAAATCATCTCTTCTCTCTCTCTCTCTCTCTCTCTCCCTATATATATATATATATATATATATATATACATACACATACATACATATATATTTATATAGAGAAACTGATTACAAAAAGGAAAAGAATATTCCATGCAGAATTCCAAATAGAATTTGCCTCATGACGAAAATAAAGACTATGACCCAAAATGTAAATGTTGAGAATAGTGGTTAAATGGCAACAGTAAGTTTGTAATCCCAGCACTTTGGGAGGCCAAGGTGGGTGGATCACTAAGGTCAGGGGTTTGAGACCAGCCTGGCCAACGTGGTGAAACACAGTCTCTACTAAATACAAAAATTAGCTGGGTGTAATAGCACGTGCCTGCAATTCCAGCTTCTCGGGAGGCTGAGGTAGGAGAATCGCTTGAATGCTGGGGGTGGAGGTTGCAGTGAGCCAAGATCATGCCACTGCACTCCAGCCTGGGAAAAAGAGTGAGATTCCATCTCAAAAACAAAAACAAAACCCTAGCTATATCTGCAATTAAACTCTGGGTATGGCACACACATTGTGTGTACATCTTAGTGAAAACAAGAAAGGTCTTTATTGGTGGAAGAAGAACAAAGTAGACATAAAGAAAGAAGAAGGAAAAACATGAAGTCCCCAAGATCTTTGAAACCTCAATGGGTTTCCCACCCTCCCTCTGTTTCAGAACCTCATAATGACACTGATAGTTTGGGTTGTCTGACACACACTGCATGTGTCTCCTACGTATGCAACTCCTCTGTGTTGTCTTGGCTTCACCACTGGAAGATTTGGAGGTAGGAACCTTCCTTGACATTGGGCACAAGCCATTTTGCTCATGTCATTACACTGGCCACAGCAGTTGGTGGCATGCATGAGCAGATAACCTAAGAAGGAACAAATTCCTTACTCAGACATTCAGGAATTTAGGTAGAGAAGAGATCATTTCCCTTGTTCTGATTGCTGAGATGTATAGGTGCGAGACCTCGAACCACTGCCTCCACTTTGCTACCATGAGAAAACTCTGCCTGAAGATAAAGCAAAGACATAGCTTAAAGAAGGAATTGCAGGCCAGACATGGTGGCTTACGCCTGTATCCCAGCACTTTGGGAGGCCGAGGTGGGTGGATTACCTGAGGTCAGAAGTTTGAGACCAGCCTGGCAAAAACGGTGAAACCTGTCTCTATTAAAAATACAAAAAATTAGCCAGGCGTAGTGGCGGATGCCTGTAGTCACAGCTACTCGGGTGGCTGAGACAGAAAAATCACTTGAACCCGGAAGGCGGAGGTTGCAGTGGGCCTGGGTAACAGAGTGAGACTCCATGGAAGGAAGGAAGCAAGGGAGGGAGGGAGGGAGGGAGGGAGGAGGGGAGGAAGGGAAGGCGGGCAACCAAACTGAAGCATCTTTGAACAAGGCCACCTAGAGTTCAATTCATTGAATATTTCCTTCAAAGCCACCCTTTAATACCATTCACTGAATTTTTTAAATTAAAAATTAAATTATGTGAAATAATAATTCGTTTAATTTTTCAGTGAATGGTATAAAATGGTGGTTTTGAAGAAAATATTCAATGTGCTTACATCAAAATGTAAATTTTTATCCCTATTGACAGTGTTATTACAAAGATTTCAGCAACACTGAAGTTAAAGATGTACTCTTTAGGTGAATTACATAACAGATTCTATGATCCTGCAAAATTTCCCTATAATTACTAAACAGATTCTATTTTCTTTAAAATGTCAAAATTTCAGAATTGAATTCAGTATCATTTTTGAAATCAGCATTTATAAAATAATCCTGGCATTTTCCTTAATCTCTGGATTTCTGTGATTAGCTAAGAAAGAGTCTTGAAGTTGTCATAAAGAAGAAGAATATCATTTTACTTAAATAATGAATTATCTGCAAAAACATATATGATTTAGTCTAATTACAAATATCCACCACTGATATAGCCATGTGAAAATACACCTTCAGTTTTACTTAAATCGGAGCTGCCAAAAATAATATCACATCTTTGAAATACTAGAGCTTGGTATTTGACTTCTATAGCCCACGCCTGCCAAGTTGTCATGGCAACTTTTATTCAAAAAGGAAGACAATTTATTGTTTACTTAAGAATGCAGAGACACAAGTTATTAAATTCCAGAGAGGTGTTTTGCTCAGATATTCAGAAAAACCATAAAATAGATGTCTCAAAAATGTGACATTTTAGCACTAGTAAATTATTCAAAACATGTCTTGTCCTTTTTAGGAGTAATGGCACTTAAGATTCGTCAAAAGCCACTTTGAGTACAAAGATTTTCATTTTCTGTTCAAAAGCAAACTATTTCTAACACCACAGAAAATAAAACAAAACACTACTGTGATATGCCTAGTTGCCAATTCATTTAGGAAACCAACTGTTAGAGAAAGTAGATGGCACCGTATGTGGTCATAAATCGTATAAATCCAAGTTCCTCAAAAATGCATGGAAATGTTCAGTTGTAGACACACAGAGGACATACACCAAAAATACACAGGAAAAGTTATCATAACTGCAGCTTAGCCATTCTGCAGCAATCAACCAATCTACATAATTCCTAACCCAAATGCTGCCTCCTTTTCTATCATGGATATTGATGGATAATGTTTATGAATGCCTCACATTGCCTCATGCAGTAATAATATTTGAACTCCAGCTTCATTTCATTTAGAACTTAAAAAATGAAAGATCAAAAACATATTGTATGACTATCACTGTGGTAGTTATTTGATATATATGGATACTTGAAATATAATCAAAATTCTTATTAAGACTATTTAACATGGAATCAATTGGCCACCTCTTGAACATCATTCCTTAATTAATAAAGGAAGATTATAATTTGAATTATATTTGCCAGGTGTTAACGAATAGACTGCAATCTTATAAGAATGATTTTAAAATACTACTTGTGGGTATTACACTCCTCAGAAATAAAGAGTTAATAAAAGAGTTCCCTGTGATCTAAGGAAATTCATGTTGATATAAGAAACCAAAAGCACATGATGAAACCAAAGGATGTGATGAAATAACAAGAGGAGAGACATAGTGAACTGCCCGTTGTCAGGTAAAGAATTACAGAGACGAACCCACTACTGACCAGAATAAACATGACTAAATTACCAGTCAGAACCGAGGAAATAGTCCCGAGGTACATACAACATGAAATGAAAAAGAATAATGAGAAAAATGTCTAGGACGAATGTTATGGATTGAAGTTTGTGTCCCCGTGACAAAATTTGTAAGTCGAAGCCCCAATGCCGAATGTGCTTGTATTTGGAGATAGAGTCTTTAGGAAGGTAATTAAGGTCAAATAATGTCATAAGAGTGGGGTTCTGATCCCATAGGATTAGTGCCCTTGTAAGAAGAGACGTAAGATTCATTTTCTCTCCTTCCCTCTCTTTTTAATAACTTTCTCTATCATGTGAGGATACAGTAAGGAAGCTGTCTATAAGCCGGAAAGGGAGCCCTTACTACGAACCCAAGCAGCTGGCACCTTGATTGGGGACTTTTAGCTGCCAGGACTGTGAGAAAAAATATTTCTGTTCTTTAAACCACCTAGCCTATTGTATTTCGTTATGTCATCTCAAGCTGACAAGACAAAGTCATAACATAAACTGCAGGAAAAAAAAAAGGAGATGAGATGCATACATAGTTGTTGTAGAAAAAAAATTAAATATATATTTTAAAATTTTTATATCTCAATTTTTTCTGA